GAGTATATATAGCCAGTGGGTGGGGCTACTGCTTCAGTTTCTTTCATCCGCCCCCATAGGAATCTTCATCTTTGACTAGCGCTTTTGGACTACGTGAATTTTTACTATTTTTATTTTACTTTAATTTTATTTTGTCGTGGTTATGGTATGTTGACCACCAGTTTCTTTAAAATGTGTCCCTCATGTGGAGGGAAAAGTCGCCCGATGGATGGGCATGTTATGTGTCTGCGATGCCTGAGGAGAGGCCTTGCGGTATGATCCGGCGTTACAGGTAAGCAACCTATATTTCCCAACCTTTTTTTTAACCAGGGACCACTCTCCAACATCAATAACAAAAGGGTTACGAATCCGTTTTTGATCAACTTTAGATTGAGTTTGGTTATTGGGGTGTCAATTTAGAAAATTGCATTGAATAGACCACATCAGCTCTAGTTTCCGATACGGAACATACGCCATCCAGTAGTTGCCATCTGCTCGCCCACAGTAAACCATATTTAATAAGCCTCAGCACTATAAGAGGGTTTCACCAGACCAGTCGTTCTTGTTGCAACAGCGTAGTAACTGTGAGGATGTGAACCATATTTTACTACTTGCGGACCACTGGTGGTCCACAGACCCCAGATTGGGAACCACTGATGTAGACTGAGGGAAGTCCTAGTCCCACTCTCTTCTGCTTTGGTCAGGCTTCACCTGGAATAATGCTGTGTCCACTTCTAGGCAATTCAAGGAGGAGATGGACAAGATGGAAAGTGTCCAGAGAAGGGCCATCAAAAGAGTCAAAGGCCTGGGAACCCTATGAGGAGCACCTTAGGGAGCTCAGGAAAGAGAAAAGTGAGACAAGGGGACCTGATAGCAATGTGCAAGTATCTGAAAAGATGTCCCATTGAGGAGAATGGGGACAAGGGTTGTTTTCTGCTGCTCTGAAGACTTAAGACACAATGGAGCCATGGATCTACACCAGGCACAGGCCAACTTGGGCCCTCCAGATGTTTTGGAATCCAACTCCCACAATTCCTAACAGCCATGCCCGATCTAAACATTAGAAAGAGCCTCCTAATGCCTCAACAATGGAATACAGCCAACACTAAGCCTGATGGGAGGTTTTAAAGTAAAGGCTGGGTGGCAATCTGTCAGGAGGGCTTTGGTTGTGTCTTCCTGTTTTGCAAAAGAGGGTTGGACCCCTTCCACCTGCGGGGTTCCATGTGGAAAGCACGAAGGGTTGCGTGAGGCTCACCTGCCCGGTCTCCCTTCATGGAGTCCCAGATGTTGCAGTTGAAGTCGTCGTACCCGGCGAGGAGGAGGCGGCCGCTCCGGGAGAAGGCCACGGAGGTGATGCCGCAGATGATGTTGTCGTGAGAGTACATCATCAGCTCCTGGTCGGCACGCAGGTCGAAGAGGCGGCAGGTGGCATCGTCCGAACCCGTGGTGAAGGCGTTGCCGTTGGGAAAGAACTGCGGGCAGAGAGAGAGAAAGGTAAGGCACGTGCCATTCCCCTCCCCTTTCTCTCAGCCTGTCAGGAGTCACTTTCTGATGGCATGAAGACATCACAAATTCCCTCCGTGACATCCTGACTGAATCATCCTGGCTGAAGCAATTCTCTCTCTGTGACATTTTGAAGCCAGCAGAGAGCGCTGGAAACCTTGAATTGGAACTTGTGAAGCAACAAATTCTAATAAGGAAACTGAGAAGAGGGGGAGATGGGCAGCAAAGGTGTATAAAAGGAAGTGGTGGTGGGAAAAAGCCAGTAGTGCCTTTCTTTGCTGCAGAGATACAAGCAATATATCAATTTCAAAGCAAAACGGCTTGTGAGTGGTTATTTAATATTGCTCTATAGATCCTACAGTCTGACACAGCCACACTGACTCATGTGCCCCTCACTCACGCAGACAGCGTTGATGTCGGACTCGTGGCCAGTGAAGGTCTGCCGGCACATGCTGTCCCGAATGTCCCACAGCTTGATGGAGGCATCGCAGGCCCCTGAGACAAAGGTGCGCATGTCGGGGGCCAGCGAGAGGGACATGACGTCACCGCTGTGGCCGGAGAAGGTGGTGGTCTGCTGGCCGGTCTCAATGTCCCACAGGGCGCTTCGCAGGGAGGAGGACAGAAAAGATGCAGCGCATGAGAGGGAGAAAAGGCATTGAATAGGCATGGGCCAACTTCGGCCTTCCCTCCAGGTGTTTTGGACTTCA